ATCACCTAGCAACCCAGAGCATCCATCAATCCCATTAATTTTATCATTTCTTTGGTAATCCGATTGATTTTCTAAATCAGACAACAACTGAAAGATAAAACGTTTGTTGTTCTCCGCTATTTCGATCAACTGAGAATCCATTTTAAATTTTATGTTAAAAAGTTGAAAACAATCTGTTCCCGATCTTCGAAACAATACTTTGATTATGAATTCCCACATTTTCTCTTGTCCTTCTTTTGTGACTTGTGATTTAAGTCGGTCGCAAATGTACTCTACTGCCAAATATTCAGCAAAAGACATGTGTATGAATATCGGTACGTTATTTACTACGGTCCGGATCAAACCAGTTTTTTCTCTTCCATCTTTTAGTTCATCAATCATTTTATTTATTTCATGTAAAACTGCTTCGTCGAAAAATTCTGTAGTAGGATAAAACACGACAAAGGCGCCTAATTCCTTATACCTATTTACACATTCCGTCCATTCTTTTTCATATAAAACTCTATTGTCTGGCTTATAAACATCAATTTTGTTTTTCTCTTGAAACTTAATTCGCTTCAGGTTTATTTCCATATAGTATTCGTACATAATATATTCTGTTATATTAATATCCCATTTGTTCTGTTTATCATCGATATATTTGATTTTATTAAGTGTATATTCAGCCAGTAGATACAAATGTAAAGGCGTTGAACTTAATATTTTATTAAATTGTATTACATCATGTGTTTCCGAGTCGATTTCTAGCTCGTAATATTCATCGAGATTAGGGATTTCTAAACCTGTGATCGTAGACTGTTGCTTTAAAAATAACAGAAAACTTGTATAAACTTTAAAATACGCTTTGTGTCGAATATTGTTAAAGACTGCGACACCGTTTGATTTTTTTGTAATGAACTGAACGAAGTCGTTTATGTTTTGTAGTTGTTCGCTACTTAGTTTTGATAGTTGCAATTTGTTTTGCCAATACAAAAACAGATATCTGTCTTGTTCCGTCCAAGAGAAATGGTCAATGCCATATGAAGGTCCAAATTCTGTTTCCAAAATAGATTTAATATTGTTATAAGATCGACTTGTGATCCAAATCTTATGTCTTTTAGTAAAATCCCTAACTGATTTCACTAGTGCAAGTGCTTGATCGGCGTAGTCAGGGAATATTTCATCGAACCCATCAAAAATGAATATTAATTTCTGTGTGTTGTAGTAATAGAGAAATAATTTAAGTTGGAATTCTATAAAACTGTCCTCGTTCCAGTTTTTGAGGATTACCGTTCCAAGTACTTCTTCCAGTTCAAATTTAATTTCATCATCTTCATTAAAATCTCTGTGATCCTTACAAATGGCTACGTCACACATGAATCTTAAACTCTCTAGCATATTTATATCAGTTTGGCCATCTTTCCAATCACTCAGCATCTTCGTGTGCTCCAACAAATTGATCCTTAATATCCACAGTTTAGGGTTTATTTCCTTTGTTTTCAACGACAAATGAGTCATCAAAGTCGACTTGCCCATTCCTGGTAAAGCTGTCAGTAGTACAACGTCGTCGGCTAAGTCATATAGAGTTTGTGGTCGTATACGGTTTGCAAAATCGAACTCTGCTTTTGGCGTCACTCTCCTGTCTATATACAACTTTTTGTTCCTTTCATAGTTACCATCTATGTCTTCATTTCCTATTTTTATTGATTTACCGTCGACAATATTGTTCAGCATAGTTTCATCTATTAATTTTGCAGATTCTTCATCTATAATTAAATCTAAACCTACATCTAAGCTTTGGAACTTAGCTTTAGCAGCTCCTAGGACCATTTTTTGAGAATTATCAGTCAGATCGATGAGAGATATTGGATCGTCATTTACTACATCATGGACTTGTGAGAAATATTGTTTTATTGTTTTCACTGAATGTTTATCCACGACTATAACAGTCGGTTTACCATTGACAGCCTTTGCGATGCTCTCTAACTTCTTGTTACAATTTCTAAAGCTTTGCATGTGATTCGATAGAATTATTAGTACTTTGTCCTTACAATTCGTCAGTTCTTCACAAAATATCGTAAGGCTCTTATGAGGGAGTTTGAAAATATATTTTAAATCCAATACAGCATGATCCCTTTTGCCTAAATACTGTTCCAATTTGACTGATGTCAGTACTGGGCTCCCTGATGCTATAACAGCTCCAGTAACATTACGTTCCGTGAATATCTTGAGAGATTCTTCTTTAAATACATAATCTTTGTTTTTAATTCTATGCATCGTGTTTAAAACTCCAATTAAAGGTTCATTCATGGCGTTTGTAACAGCATTTGTGTATAGTTTGCTCTTTTTCGTCAAATATGTTCCCACTTTTGGAGTCATCCATAGTTTTTGTATTTCGTCGTGATACCTCAGATATATTACGTCAGATCTCACTCTGAAGTGGTGGACGTCATAACACGGATGATCTTCTATTTCTCTCTTGAGTACATCTTCTACTCCACCCTGATCTGATTGGTTTGTAAAAAAGAGCAATCTGTCGTAAAAGTCTCTGACCAAACTATCGTCGTATGCTCCTGTTTCGAATGAAAGTTTTGGAAACTTTTTGACTTTGACGTCCAATTTGTATTCATTTAAATTGTCGATTTCAATTTTCAGTTTTTCGTACCATCTCTTGGCTATACTGCCCAGTGATTCAAAGTCGTCTGTGAATCTTAGGAGATTTGTGGTATAGTCCAATACTAATATATTACCAACGGCTGAGGACAATCCTCCATTCAGCTTTAGAAAGCCATCACCAAGACTTTCATCGATTGTTATTATATTGTCTGTCGTCACAGTTTCCAATAGTTTTACAAATGTTGTAGTTAAATGTGTTAATCTTTGGTCTATTCTTGCGTCATTCCCTCTTATGGCCAAGTCTTTGTTACCAAAAAAAGCTGGAACCTTCAATTTGAGACCTTGTAAGTATTCTTTAGCTCCACTCACAGCTGCCTTATAGACAACAGTTTGTGGTACATTCAATTTGTCAAGTTTCCGTTCTAGATCATCCTTTATAGAGTTATTGACAAATTCCAATCTATCATTCTTGTAAGTTATAACTTTACCTATTAATTTTGACAATAGTTCTTCCTTGGGTTCGACAAGAAACTCTGATAAAAGAGAATCCAAACTAATCATATTTTCATCACTGATTTGTGATTTATTTCTCTTTAGAACTTCTAAGCATAGGATGTTTTTAAATAGTACAACAAATGTGTCATCAGAATCAAAGAAATCTTCTCTGAAATGCACAAATCGATGGCCTTCATCTTGAATCTCAGACACATCAAACACTTCAAGAGCTAGGAGCACATGATAGCGCAACATCAAATCATTGTTCATCGATAGTTCTGTGTCAGTTCGTTCAGTTATAAACGTAGCTATATTTGTAGCTAAACAAACAATTTCTTCTTTCATTAAATTCTTGCCTAGAAAGTCTGAATGGTCTTCTTTATTAACAGCTTGTCGGCAAGCTTTTCCTGTTCCTACAAGTTCATTTATATAATCAGCAAATTCTCCCTCATATAACTCAGTACTATTGTCATCTTCAGCTGTAGCGGATGGAGTGTACATTGCAAAAAAGCATTCAACATCTTCGAATTTTCCACCGAAAATCGGGCTCTTATTTTTAGAACTGAATAATTGTCTGATTCTCAAATAACTATCAAAATATTTAGCTAAATCGTTCTTGTTGCTGAACGTAAATAGTTTATCATTTTCTCTATGTTTGGCTTGGATGAATATAGCCAAAGGTTTATCGAACTCAGATACTTTGATTCTTAGACAAATATCATCAAACGTGCCGATTTCATCGATGTTCGTGGCCAGATGGAAGCTTTCTATCGTGTCGTTGTGCAAAGCTCTGAAGTTAATGAGACTGGTGAGTTTCGTTTCATAAAGTTGTCCTTGTATGCCCGATGTTCCTGAACGCTTTTTATATTGTTTTACGTCCATAGTAACGGGGTCTGAATGTGGAACAAGTTGACGCGAACAATTACATCAATGTTGTCTTCTGTCAGTTGCCTCAAGTTGGTCTACTAATTTATGAGCAGAACTGCAAGCTGTAACTGAGTTTGGAAGTTCTATAGTGGTTCACCCCCGTACCTCGGGAACCATGTCAAGTCGACCCTGATGCCTCTCTCCTTATTTCTGACTGAGAGAGGGAACAGAGAGTGTTCCCTGTATTAGTAGATAATATAATTTTCGTACTAGTTAGACGTACAAGATTTATATGAATGAAACATTTAACAATTTCACCGGTGGTACTGAAGGATGTGTGACGCCGACGCAGCCCCTCGCCCCGTCCGTCGATGTCTTACCCCTCCGTCGTCTGTTCGAATGACCAGTTTTTCATTTGTTTGCTTCAAGGTTTCTTTTCTCAATTCTTCAATAGTTGTGATCTGTAAAAATCAACAAATGATATTTATTTCTGCGAACAGGTCACAATGGGGCACTTTTAGGCTAAGGACTCAAGACACGATTGACTCCCGCACCACCCGCAGCCATTGTAGAATACAGATGTGTATTTAAAAATCAAAACAATTTTCACGGTGCGTTTTACACCAGCGGCTGTTGCAATCGTTTGCGGCTCCCACTGCGCCGGCGGGCGCCGCCATCCCGCAGCCGCGGCGGGTTGCAACCGCGCACTCAGCGATCGGATGACGGGCGACCGCAATGGGATAGCCGGTCTGGAACTCGACTGATTGTTTAACCGCCCCCCCGTCCTGCGATAACCAACCGCAAAGATTGCGGGTGATAATCGCAACCGCGGCGGCTGCGGAATCGCAGAAAACTGCGATCTCGTGAGTTTTGAAAATTGCGTCTCCATTCCAGTAACTACCACGGCGGGCGCGGGAGAAGATCGCGCCTTGATTCCTTAGCCCTACAAGTCAATCTTTAATTTATGTAGGTCGGCCATTCTCAGGCTACTCATCATTTCGTTGACTTCGGTGTCATTTTTTTTACTGTGACAGATTATAGTCTAAGATCCCGTTATAGAACGACCTTCACCGAGATGCTTATTTAATGAAACGTATTTTATATTTAATTTAATATGTCAATAAATATAATCCATATGGGTTGCCTAGCAAATTTCAGTCCAGAGTATGTTTAATTAATAATTAAAAAAAAATATTTTTTTAAACATTTCACCGGTATGATTATTAGATAAATTCTATACCAATCGAAAGTATGAAGCCCATAGAATACACAAACGTTAGGTTGCCTATTCTTTTCCGGTCACAACTATCGGGTTGCCAGGTATAAACAGGTAAATCTGTACTAGCATTTTGCAACGTTCTGTTTATTGGATGAAATTTAAATCAAATTAAAGATTATTTTATTCTGAACACGGTGGTATAGGGTTGCCAGCGAAAAATAAGTCCAGAATTGCGGTTGTCGAATTTTAAAAAGTTAAATATTGCTCCGAGTGAATGTGTGCGACTGAGAGGTCCCAACCAACCATCCCATGCGATAGAAGAGGACACAGCATAGCAGCTGTGTAAAGTCCGGTCATTTAAAGAAAGAGAGTGCGCATGCTCTTTGGGCTTGGAAAAGAAAAGGATAGCGATAGACTATGCATCATTTTGGAGTAGAGTGTCGCTATAAATACAATTGAAAAAACGTGCTACTATTTATTGTTGGAAAAAATGGCAAAAAAGTGTTTTTTGTGTGGATCGGATGGTGAAATAATTGACTTTAATGATGAAACTTTCAAAAACTGTGTATTAAAGTTAGCTTTTCGTAAAAAAAAACACTTTAAATACAATTTTGTTGAGCTACCCAGTGCGTCTCTTCAATTTGTAGGTTATCATACCACGTGCTACAAGAAAGTGACCGTTTTGAATAAAAAATATAACGAAGAATTTCTTAATTTTAGTGTTGAATATACAGTAAGTACATAATAATTGAATCTTTAAAATTATCTTAGCTAATACATCTTCTATATTTTTTTCATGTTTAAATAATTGTTAGTAAAATTCGCCTATGGTTTTGTTAATTTTCGACATACATAATTTTTTTGTAATTTACTTAAAAATGGCAATCTATAACCATAATAAAACTGTAGAGAAGTCAATTTTGTACATTGAACATATTTTTAAAATTAATATTGGAGTATGATTGGTGGTCGATACTGATGCCAAAAAATGCAATAAGTATTTTTTTTGTCTGTCTGTCTGTCTGTCTGTCTGTATGTGCACGCATAAGTCAAAAAGTACTGAATAGATTTCGACCAAACTTGGCACGAATGTAGTCCATACTCCTGGGCACTAGTTTATAAATTAAACAAGAAAAAGATCTGATTTCTTTTTTTTTTTTGTAACAATTAATGAGGATGTTTTCAATCAACTATTCTTATCAAGAAGTTTATTATATCAAACATTTTCATTTAATCGCAAAATTTTTTTTTTTTTTTTAGGAGCATAACAATGTATCTACTACTGAAGAAAAATCAAAACAGTTGAACCCTAGTGTCGATTCCTGTGCTACAGTTGCTGAAAATGAAACGAGTAATGTTGAAGACCTGGCCCAAACTTCTGGGGACTCTGACACGGTAATAAAATATTTTTTGTTTTTTTTTAAGTTTCTTTAAAAAAATGATATGTAAATATGATTTTTACTCAAAGAATGATTTAATTCTTTTAGGAGCAGTCAACATCAACAGCATCGACATCAAGCAGAATTATTTGTCTTTTTTGTGACCACAGCCAAAAGAGATGCGGGAAGAAGCTGGTCAATCTTACTGTACCTAATGATGACAAAGTACCACTGCAGATAAAAAATATAGCGCAAAATTTTGGCGATTCGGTGATTCTCTCCAAACTTCAACATCAAACTATCGCGTACCATCTGCCTTGTTACGCAGTGTATCAATCGAAAAATAAGCGGTCCACGGAAGAATCTACCCATTCCAACTATAGTAAATATAGACAGTTACATCAGTTTGCCTTTCAATCCATATCGAATTTCATTGAAACAGAAATAATAGAAAACAACAAGGTTATGTACTTGGCTCAATTATTTTTAAGATACCAAGCTTTATTGTTGGAGTTTGGAAATCATGAAATTGATTTCGATGATATTCAAGATTACCGATGTGAAACCTTGCAAAAAAAGTTAATGAAGAAATTTCAGGATCGTATTACGATTGAAGCGTCAATGGGAATACGTAACAAAAAAATTGTTTATAAAACAGACATGGACGTCTCTGTAATGGCAAACAATTTCAAACTTTAAGAAAGTAATTATGAATGTCATCATGAAGAGGCAGATACAAGGATTATTTTTCATGCTTCTAAAGCGGAACCAGGCTCAAGGATTTTAATTAAAGCCTCTGATACTGACGTTTTGATAATTTTGTTAGGAAATATGCACAAACTTATCGAATCAGAAATTTGGCTTGCCTGTTCAGCAACTAGAAAGACTAATAATCAAACTGTTGATTGCATTAATTGCACGGATTTAGCGTTGAAGTTGGGAATTAAATTATGCCAAAGTCTTCCCGCCTACCACGCATTTACAGGTTGCGATTATACGGCAGCCTTTTACAACAAAGGGAAAGTAAAACCTTTTAAGCAATTTTCAAAAAATGAAAAATATCAAACAGTTTTTGCATCATTAACGGATGCTGCTGATATTTTCAATACTGAAAAAATGAAGACCGTTCAAGAATTTACGGCTATTATGTACGGTATCAGGAACTGCACCAGTGTGAATGATGCGAGACATCGTATTTTTATGAAAAATTATTCTGCAAAAGAAGACAGCGAGTACTTTTTAAAAAAAATAAAAGGCTTCGACTCCAACTCCATACCACCATGCTGGATATCATTAACTCAGAAAATTTTACGAACTATTTTCGTAAATTCCATGTGGCTTAATGCAACGGAACCAATATGCGTGAAACTTGAGCCTGAGAACTGCGGATGGTACTTAGATGAATATTTAAAACCAGTAGGATTCATTGGGGATCATACACCTTTAAAAATAGAAGACATTGTCGAAAAAGGTGAAACAGAGAGTAATGACGAAGAAGATTCAGAAGTTGAAGATCGTAGTCCGATGGAGTCCAATGACTCGGATTCCGAATAATTTAAAAAAAAATGTATTTTTAATTTTTTACAATAAATAGAAGTAATTTTTTAATTTTTGTTTTTTTTTATTGTCTCTTCTTATATTTTTCAATCAATATTTTTAATTATTAGAGTAGTATTATATATGTATCACTATAACCTTCTTTTTTACTAAAGATGTATATATACTTCAGTGTCACATAAAAAATATACACATAAATAATTAATTGATAAAAAAAATTAATAAATAACTTTTTCTCTATTTTAATAATAAACTACTCCAAAATGATGCATAGTCTATCGCTATCCTTTTCTTTTCCAAGCCCAAAGAGCATGCGCACTCTCTTTCTTTAAATGGCCGGACTTTACACAGCTGCTATGCTGTGTCCTCTTCTATCGCATGGGATGGTTGGTTGGGACCTCTCAGTCGCACACATTCACTCGGAGCAATATTTAACTTTTTAAAATTCGACAACCGCAATTCTGGACTTATTTTTCGCTGGCAACCCTATACCACCGTGTTCAGAATAAAATAATCTTTAATTTGATTTAAATTTCATCCAATAAACAGAACGTTGCAAAATGCTAGTACAGATTTACCTGTTTATACCTGGCAACCCGATAGTTGTGACCGGAAAAGAATAGGCAACCTAACGTTTGTGTATTCTATGGGCTTCATACTTTCGATTGGTATAGAATTTATCTAATAATCATACCGGTGAAATGTTTAAAAAAATATTTTTTTTTAATTATTAATTAAACATACTCTGGACTGAAATTTGCTAGGCAACCCATATGGATTATATTTATTGACATATTAAATTAAATATAAAATACGTTTCATTAAATAAGCATCTCGGTGAAGGTCGTTCTATAACGGGATCTTATACTATTATCATGTCATATCAAATCCGGAGTTAATTAAACACATTGGCAGTGGAGGGAACCGTATAGCCCGAATGGTTATGAAGACATTTAATTTTGAAAAAACGGTGTCCGCCGAAATTAATTTTCTTATCTCCGAAATCATATCAAATAATTTATATGACAAATATTGTGTAATATATATGTTACGGCTAAAAGTGGGTGTGAACTGGAACTAAAGATTAGCCGGCTAAACTGAAGTGTAACTACAGACCCTTGGCTGAAACTGTACAAGGAAATGGAAAACTGAATAATGTTATAATATTTACTATTTTTACATGAAAACTTTTAATAAAAAATAATTACCCATTAGTCTCATTTACATACTTTATTTAATGTCGGTACGTGTATCAAACTACCAAAATGACAGCACGTAATGACAGACAAGTTATGTTTGAGATCCTTAATGATTCTTTTACCTATAATTCAAAATATCGAAAGTTTGAAATGACCAATGGCCTTGTAGAATAATTACCATCCTTAGATCATAACTTAGGGCACCCTCACACATTTGGTTAGGTTATGTTAGAACTGTAATCCTGACAAGGCGCGAGGCGAGCGAGCGTAGCGAGAGGTGCCACGGCAGAGGCCACCGAGCGCTGACTTAGCCGCTTTTCAAATCTTTTCATATGATATAGCCAAATTAAAACATTAAATAGCTACACTGAATAATAATATGTGTGGAGGCGTAGAAGACAAGATGTTAGAAATATGTGAGATGGTGAATACAAGAAAGATTGATTTGTTAGGGATGAGCGAGACGAAAAGAAAGGGTTGTATGACTACCACACATGGCCAATATATTGCTTACTGGTCTGGTGTTGCAAGTTCCCAGAGAGGCAGCCAGGGCGTGGGGGTCATACTATCTCAAAGGATGAATGAGTGTGTGAAAGGGTGTGAATGTGTGAGTCCTAGGATACTTTGGATCCGCCTTAAAATTGGCTTGACCAAGTTATTTGTCATCTGTGCTTATGCCCTGGACATGTCAAAGCCAATTGGGGTGAGGGAAGTATTTGTTTCATTTAAGTGTTGTATGTCGGCTGGTATCTTGTTATATCATTTAACACAGAATCCTATGAACGACTTACCTACTTTCGCCAATCTGAAAGTTGGCTGACTTAATCTATCTGCTTTTATCTTTCCAACTGCAATCCTAGAGCTTTCACGAGAGGTCAGCCGTGGCCGTTTGAAACTTAAAATCAGAAGAACATGAAATCCATTCCAGTTGGAGCTGCTCACCATGGCATGAAACAGAAGTCTATCAACATGAGTTGGAAACTACTCCAGTCAGTAAATATACTCCGGAGTGATTGCTACCTATTTTTATGGAAAATGAGACATTTTCTTAGCCAGCTGTTCCACTGTGTTGCATATTTTCCCTTTTCATTATTATTATAACCTAATTCCTCCTAATGTTTTAAATAAATGTGGAGGGGAGGAGGCTCCACTGATTAAAGATGGGATTGAGTGAGACGATAGGATTGTGAATATCAAATGATCTTAGGAGTAGTTACTATTCGTTCATTAATTAACAAACCTATTAAGGTTTTTAACGATACAGCCAGACTGTCATGTAAATTAATAACATTTGACTCCTGAATGAAGATGTGGAGAAGATCAGAACACCTAGTCGGTGTTCTAGCTATACATTATTAAATAATGTTTTAAGTCATGTTTAATGCAAGTAAATCTATCAGAGTCTAAACTTGAATTGGAAAACATCCAAGAGAACCTTTTAAACTTCCGACCTCGGGCCCACCACATCAGCAAATACTGTGTGATGTACAAATAATGACTGCGTGTGTGTGAGTAAAGATTCAAACTGAAGCGAACTGCACATAATTATAAGAACATCAACAAGGCCGATGCATCATCTACAGAATTTCTAATTCTACCCACAGCACTGCGGTCCGGATCATCGCTAGCACAGGTAGATCACAATACTTTTCTGAACAATGGAGTTCTGCTTTAAGTTTCCCAACCATACTTAGTTGGATTAATAGGTATAAATTACTTTCACTGAGGTTCCTCTTCAGACAAATATACCACAAGATACTCACATAAGTCTGAGTAAAAGCAAAATAATTTTACTTCTGAAGGAAATTGTCAAAGCTAAGAGGGACCTTAGACATTGTATAATATTGATTACACGAAACTATGTTGATGATATTCCGTACTTTTCGATAACATAAGAAATTTCTAGACTATTACTAATACAGAACTTTACAAAAGTATTCTGGTTGGTATAAGTAGAAATAAAAATTATTTATACTGAAAGGGTAATTCTTTCAGTATTTAGGATTCATTTCTTACTCAAGACAATGCTCTATATTCGTTGCGGAGAACTTAACGGGTAACCGGGGCTCCGGTTCAACGTGCAGGAGAAGGAACGGGGTGGTTTTTAGTCAGTAAGAGTCTGACACTCCCTCCCGCCTCACCTCGGCGGGAGCAGTCATTCGTGAACTTCCCCCCGTAAAAAAAAAGACAACTCTCTATATAAGTACCACATGGATAGGTGGATTTCATTACAAGTAGGTTCAATACTGGAAAAAATGCTGTTATGACTCAACTACCCCGCATTTAAACAGAGAAGTTTGAGAGTGTGGATATATTTAATTTGTCAAAGGTATCTTTTCGTGAGTCGCTTATACAAATACTCACTAGTGCGTGACTCTTATAACATTATTAATTTTCTTAATTATTGCTTTATAAAAAATTTTCCTTGATTATTTCATTATATTTTATATTGCTCACTCTCCTACTTTTACCTAACGCATGCTGAAAAACTCTGTTATTGGCTTAAGTTTCCATGCCTTGTCATTATTATAGATGTAGCATTTACTTAATAAGCTGTTGAGTTTTCTGTAATAAAAATAAAAAAATAAAAATGACATTTGTTTATGACCAAAACAAAAAGTTGCAGTTTGATCCGTTCAACTTAAAAGCTAAAAGAACCTAAAACAAGCAAGTAAACAGTCAGTTCCACTTGTAATCGGCTGATCGCGTAATAATTAACGTTCTCCAACATCCCATGAACTTACCGTGAATCCTACCGAGCACCAAAATATTATCCCTTAAAATTTCATTTGCGTGCTTGTATACCTACATTGCGATGGGTGTTAGCAATTGTTACCCACTATACTGGAAACACTAACTTTCCTTTGTTCTTTGTTTCTGATTTCATGTTATCGAAAATACCCATAGATGAGTAATAGAAAATACCCAACAATTTGTATTTTTCGTTATTTGTGTCAGTGTCACTGTCACTCACTGTGTCAGTTGTAACATTATGTCATTGCTAGAAAAAACTTGTTGGTAGCGGTGAAGGTTACGCACGTGCTTTTGTCGTTCCTACGTTTTTTCTGTTAGTTTTAGTGTTTTTATCCATAGTGAACTGAATTGAAAACCTTTTAGTTCTGTGTTGTTGTGTTTTTAACTGTGTGTGTAATCTTTAATAAGGTATT